AATATATACAATACAAGAAATTACAACCATGGTCCCTAACAATAACAAATATTACAAGTAAGTACAATTATATTTCAACTATTAGCATATGACATATCTTCGTTTACATAAGTTAACAGTTGTGCACGTGGAAGATTGTTATTATTGGATGACGTTTACACCTGCTTGATGGCACTTGTAGCTGTATCGCCATTTTGAAGACCTTTTAGATGTGGCAATGTTGGAGAGTACCCATCTTCAACATCAGTAAGCGGACTCCAGCGGATTGGATCCTGGGTGAACATGAAACTTTAATTACTTTAATAGTAATATTATTTAATTGGATATCAATTTATCATAATATAGTTTTTTGGATTGAAAATGGATACAAATTTTTAGATTTTCATACAATGAGATATAGGTTCTTAACTAGCAAATCTGAAATGATCTAGCCACATCAAATTATTTCCTACACAATCTGAATAAAGATTACCTCGCCTCCTTCTCCTGAATTAGATTTCCCACCCAATCTATTCATGGCAATAGCAATCGCTTCATGAGTTTCCCTGGAAATTGCTCCTAGTGACATTCCACCAGTGCAAAACCTCTCAACAATAGATGAAGCAGGTTCGACCCTTCCAACTGGGATCGGAGAACGATCACTTTTAAACTCAAGAAGATCTCGGAGAACCTGCGTTCTTGACATCGTTATTACGCTGGACTAGACAATACTGGATGGATTAAGAAAGAAAAATGTTAAAATCTCATATGTTCTCCCATATGATAATGTCCAACATTTTGTACCAGCTTGCCTTTAATGAATATTGATTGTGTGGCCTAAAAACAAGTGCGTACTATAATCTGCTATTGAAGTTGAAGGTTGCAGACGTTTTACAGAAATAAATCATTACATTACTACAGAAACTCACATTTACCGGTCGGCTAGACAAATGTTGCTGATATATTGAATACGCAGTTTCACTTTTTTGGCGAACGGCTTTGTGGAGTAGTTTTGACATCTCTGGATTGTTACTATGATATTCACCTATCAATTAGACAAGAATAAGAATTTAACACTGTAATGAGAGAATCTAAAGTTTAATCAAATGGAAACAAATTTTTGGTTCACATGAAACTTGAGAATTCTGATCATATACCATAATTTTTTCATTTCTATTGATTTTTGAAGCTATGGTCATTTGGAAAAACGAGTTAACAACACATTAGTTGCTCGGGTATACAAACATGTGCAAAATATTTAGCCCCTGTTTAGTAAAAATTCTTTGAAACTCATTTTCCCTAAAACTTATTTTCAATCACATATTATCCCAATAAATTTTTACACATGGACCCATAACTTCTCCCTACTTTTAACTACACGTTCTCAAAAAAATCAATTTTCTCAATGTCTATATCAAACAGGTCTTACCTCCAGGTCTAAATTGTATGAACCCAAAATTTTCAAGTCTTTTAGCTGTATCTTCAGAGAAAGCCTTAACCCAAAACGACAAAGTTTCCCTTGCCAACTGCAAGAATTGGAATTGTTATTGCAATCAGCAACAAAAGATAAATATTTCAACATCACAGGCAAATATGGAACTGCGTGTATTGAGCTGGACATAGGCAAAATTTATCCTGAAATCATTTGAATTCTCTGAAAAGCAGCTTTTATTCATCAGATGTACAAGAGACTAGCCCTTGATGGTTATATTAGCACCAGTGCTCATACAAGAGCCAAAGAAAAAAGCATGACTAGATGTTCTTATGGTGATTACCTCATCCAGGGTTAATCCACCAATGCTTGACGTGCTCCCACAGAATGCAATATCAACAATCTCTTTGCCCAATCCATAAATTTCAAATATCTGTGCACCACAATAACTAAAGACAAATACTGTTAAATTAGATTTACTGTGTCAAATGAAAAGATGCTTATAGGATGCAGCAGCCAAGAAAGTGAGACACTACAATTAAAAACATTCTATGAAGCGGACATATACCTTGAAAGCAGTGAGATGCCCATCTTTGAGAGAATTTTCATAAGGCCGGATTTAACTGCCTGGAACAGAATTTTAGGAATGGTCATTTTCCACTCAGAATAATATATCGAAGATTTCCTCCAAACCGCAAGAACAAAGAGAAAATGCTCAAGTTCCAAACTTAGAAAAGACTAACATCCAGAGAGAGAAAAAAAATACTGTAAAAATTTGAGAATAATTAATGCATAAATACTTTTTATCATGAGAATGTTGAAGAACTCAAGTTCAGAAAAAAATGTTAGGCTTCTGTCCAAGAACAAAAGTAGAGAACTCAAAGCATAATTAAATAAATTTGCAACCAGATTTGGTCAAGTTCAACATGCATTTGCACGCTCAAATTTGGAAACAAACTATAATCTCCAATAATATTTTGTTTTGATGAGCGTTACACTCAAATAACCCTTTCTCTACATGAAATTCATCCTTGGTAGATAGCAAAGCAAATGGGACAATGAAAAATGAACATGAAGGGAAAAAACAAACGTCAACTAGCTTTCAAGGAAATACAATGTATATGAACTCAACAAGAAGGAAAAGAACATCAAAAGAAGAAACGTCTTAGAATCATTATAACCAGCATGTGTGTATATGAACCTTGCAGAAGTTCATTTGAGCCTGTTCAATTGTAACAGTAGGCATCTTCCCATTCCGCATCAGATTCACAGTTTTAGTGCTCAAGCGCCACTGACGACATGTCTCCAGAGCCAAGTATGGACATACAGCACTGCAAAGATATATAAAATGAAGTGAAATAAAATGGGGATTGAAACATTATTGATATGCAGCAAAGTCAATCAAAATATCAAATTGAATTTTGGACAACAGATACAATTATTTCAATCAATGACATAAAGCTTTGCAGTTAACAAAATTCAATCTTCAAATGCTGAGCAGTGAAAGCAAATTAGGGCATGTTTAGCACATAGTAGTGGGTAAGACTAAGAGCCCATTTAGAATGGTTTTTGAAAAGCCAAAAGTTGCTTTTAAGACTAAGAAACTGCTTTTCAGGCTTCTGTAAGTGTTTGTCTAGTCAGAGGGGCTTTAGAGGAAGCTAGCCCAAGGTGACTTCCTCAAGAAACTCTTACATAAGAGCAGAAATCCTGTCAAACGGTCCTAAATTGTATAATAAACAATATTTCAACTTATTCTTCTTCTTTTTAATCCCATCTAATACTATCTAATCTTTCCTATCAAACAAGACATAAAGGCATAAAGGTCACATAAAATGTTAGTACCTGGCTCCGTATCCAATCAAGCATGAAAACTGATGAGTACTGAAGCATTGAGCAGTATCAGCAACAATAGAAGCTTGCATTCGCAGTCCATTCTGAATTAGATGCTGATGAACAGCACCCACAGCAAGAAGTATTGGAATTGCAGGACGAGTTGCCTCCTAACAAAAGTTAATAATCAATGGATAACCAACTTTTAGAAGATTTGAACCCGAATCAAGAACAAGAAAAGACATAAAAAGAAAATTTCAGCATCAAACAAGACTTCTCCGTGGAAAATGTTAACCATCTCGTTTAAAGCTTAAGTTGTTAGGGAAGGGCCTCGTCTATTTATTAAAATTTGGTCTTCAAAACAACCTTCTCACACGGATTAATATTTTCACCGAACGCCCGTCACTTGCTCTCTTTTTTATAAATAGGTGGTGGCGAGACGTGAATTAAAGTCTTTTGATTGGCTCTTATACCACGTTAACAATCATGTGTAAAAAGGTTAAGCTGTTAAATATGGCCCAAATATGATAAATTTGGTCAACAAAAAAGGAGAACAATCAGAATCCACCAAGCAAACAAGTTTGCTTTAAACTGAATAAAGAAACAAGAAACTTCAAAGAAACATTGCAACAAGATAGGAACCATATGCAATGTTGGAACTTGGACTGCATCATTATGATATAATCATGTAACTGTAGAATTACTTGTACGAAAATA